TATTAAGAGTGATTTCTGAAGGATCATGTGACACTGAAGACTGGAAAAAAATCTAACCAACCACAAACTTTGGAATGGAAGTGTACATAGTTTATGCCACAATTATAAGACAATATTTTGGTGATGATAAAGTAACATTAATGACTAGAAACGTTTTCAATTCACTCTCCATTGGCAGGTGTAGCAAAAAGTAAATTTGGACCCTGCTTGTGAGATTATGTAAGACTGGCATGCATATACTTACTGTCACGGTGGTGTGGAGGTGGAGAGGTGGGATATGAATCACAAGGCCCGGGAATTATGTGAATATCATCAATAGCTATACTTCCTTTGGGACCTGCTCCCTTCAGGAATTCAAATATAAACTGTGGAGAGAGGAGAAAAACAACGATGTACTGTACAAATGTTTCATTTTGAGTGAATCTTAGAATGATTCAAGTTGATCCTGTGAAGTCTGCATGATGGAGTTTGATACCCAGAAAGGCTCTCGGTATGCTACATAGATGTTGCCTCTCCTCCAGACATTGCCCTGATCTCCTGACTCCTCCCATACTATCTGGCCAAACTTATTGCCGGTGTTATGGGCGGTCCTGGGAAAGAATTATCTCCATGAATTGTGATCCATGTACATACTGATAAAAGGTGTTTTTTTTGGCCATGGTCCTGTACCTGTTATTTTTGTATAACTTGAGCGTTCCAACATTGTATCCATACATATGATACCAGAATGTGAAGCAGTGCCCTCTGCTGTCAGGGGTGAATATCTCACTCAGGATCATGGCAGTATCTCCCCAGGCCCCCACAGAACTGTCCATATAAAGGTAATAACCTAAAAACATACGAGCATCACTGTCACTGTTTACACCTGGTATTTAAATGAAAGTGTCACCACTTGTGATTATATTTTAACAAAAGCCCTAAATTTTATAAATATAAAAATCACTTCTTTCGTGTTACGGCCTGCGAGTTGATAAAAGCATGTTTGTTATAAATGCAAAGTTTGCAAATCATCAAAGAAAATCATGTCTTTTGAATCATTTACTAAAAAGACCTGTTTAGATTCAATTATGTATTTGTCAGGGATCTTTTCCCTGTTACCTGTTGCCACTAGGTGACTCGCTGTACCATTTACACGAAAAACCCAAGTCTTATTATTCTTTATTAAAATTTGTATACTACAAATTCGTAAATAAAGAGTGTTTTCAGCCATCATTTTTTGATTCTTTCACAAACAAAACATCACTACTGAATAAAACTGGATTTTAATATAAGCAAGCAGAAATGTATTATTTTCAAGCCCAATTCTCTCAAATGAGAGGTGAGTAGGTGGGCCTTCAGTGTTGTTCAGATTTTCAGTTTATACCACAAAAGCACAAAAGCAACGTGTTTTTGATGACCTTTGATTATGGCTGGAACAACAGTAGCGCAAAACATTTTGAAACCCACTGTAACGCTGTAACGAGCATTAACCTATGTAACCTTTGGCCCTCTAGCGGTTACAAAATAAAACTGCATGTGTTTTGCAGCAGAACTAGTTTCACACTATCCACAGCCGGAGCAACTTTTCTCTGTGTACTGATATGAACAAACACACATGTGTGAACTATATGTGTATGCACTTTACACTGAAATCTGTCCCACCGACAGCTCTAAAATATAAAATATTATGTTTATCATAGTGTATTTGGGTCAAATAAAGACTTGATTTTTTTGCACTCTATCATTAATAACATTTTGCTATTTTATCAAAACAAATTTTAAATAGTGTAGTTAGATCGCTTGAAAACAGATCTTAAAGAGCAGGTCATATGGGTTTTTGAAAAATATCTTGTTTGGAGTTTATAACGTAGCTATCCTTAAATGCAAACAATCTGCAAAGTTGTTCATCAAAAAAGTGCATGATAAATAAAGATATTGTCTCTCAAAAGAGAGAGTCGATTCTGAATCGCCTTAACCAGTCCTCATATTTTCGAATCTTTTTCCGTTACCGGTATACGTCACTGGGTAACACATTTGCATAATCCCCGCCTGCCCACAAAATACAAACGGAGTCTGACCTGCCCACAAACACTTCCACTAGTTAGTGTGTTTACATCATGTTGAGAAGACGCTGTGTTGAAGGATACCACAGAAATACAATTCCAACCTTTTGTTGAGTGCATGTTCTTTTACCAAGGACTGCTTCTCTAATCTGGGTTTTTATCTTCGTTGGCTTCTAATCTTCTTAATTTGGACTAACAAGCTCTCCGAACCACAACCTGTAAGTACGATTGATACGTTATGGGTACATTTTCAATTATGTGCTCAAAATATCAAGTTTTTGTGCTAATATGTGATGTACCTATAGTGCAGCTTTATGTTTCCAGGTAAAGCAGTCTTACTGAAGTAGTTCTGATAATTCGCTCTGAACCCACTATTTCCAAAGAATGTGTCGATTAATGTAGACTGACCTTGTTCTAATTACTTCGTTTAATAATAAAGAATGCAGTATAGCACACAGACTTTATAATCATTGTGAAATTGCTGTTTATTTTGCTGCACGGCAGATATAGGGTTATGCGGGAGAGACGAGCGAGTTAGTTAGGCCGGTGAGCCTGTGATACAGCTGTTCTGCGTTCTGATTAAAAGTTAAGACAGAGCGTCTTTTGTCTGTCGTTCTTCAAACATTACAGTAGACATATTTTGGTTTACAAACTGTATTGTTTCATAAGTTAGTCACCACCATTGTTTTAAGTGTTCACAGTTTAGCAGCTAAACTTTAGCTGTGGGCACGATTCGCTTGCACCCAGCCATTTTGTATTTTATGTCATTATTATAAGAACGGATTGGAACACTATATTATTGTTCTATGTAAAGGTGGGTGCTTTGTCAATGGTAGAGCTCGCTAACTTGCTCAAGGACTTCTCTCTGTGCAAATCATAACAGGCTTGGCCAGCTGACCAATCAGAGCAGAGTAGGCTTATGGAAGGGAGGGGTTTGCTCCGAACTTGCTTGGAACGAATCGTTTCGAAATCATTGGCAAATGACTCTAATATTAAATGTATATTCTGAGAAAATTACAATGTTTTCTGACCTTAGATGCATTTAAACCTGTTGTAGGACATCTTAAAATACCATATGACCTGCTCTTTAAAGGGGTCATATGACGTTGCTAAAAAAAACATTATGTTGTGTATTTGGTGTAATGAAATGTGTTTATGCAGTTTAAGGTTAAAAAACACATTATTTTCCACATACTGTACATTATTGTTTCTCCTCTATGCCCCGCCTTTTTGAAACGCGTCGGTGTAGCACGATGACGTAGCTGGATCAGATCCAAAACGTATTGGATGTTTGACGAGCATGCGCAGGGATTGGGATTTTAATGCGCATGCGCAAAGTGGGGCTGTCATTGAAGCTAGTATTTAATGTAAATTAAACTGTAATTACGAGATATAGGTGTAATTCATAGGCTTACACAGATTATATTATACTGTGATTTTAAACTAGTAGTGTATTCAAACTTTATTTAAGCAACGATGGCGTAGTTTTGAATGAAAGAATGAAAGGGCTATGTTTATTTGTATTAGTTTGATTCGTTTTAGGAATAAAACTCTACTAATTACAATTTAGTTTGATCGTTTGATCTTTAATGGGGTGTAACTATTGTCTTTATTTTTTCCTCTGATAGTCAGATAGTTAGATAGTTCTGTCAAAAATTCGTTCATGAATCAAATATTATTTTTCGTTCTCACTCTCTGTGCTATACGTGACAGAGTATAAAAA